TTTGACTTTTTCTCAAGTCAAAGTCAAAGTCACATTGTGACTGATGGTCGGTAAGTCAGTCAGTAAGTCTTGTTGTCGAGCCCCATAAGGGGCTCATGGCCAGATATTTATTACTGTTTGACAGTTATGATCTTGTTTTCGGTCAGTCAGTCAGTCAGTCAGTCAGTCAGTCAGTCTGTAAGTCTAGGTGTGGAGCCCCATCTGGGGCTCATGACCAGATATTTATTACTATTTGACAGTTACGGTCTTGTTTTTGTGGGGCGCTCTCTCTGACGAGAGAACTGGTCTGCTTTTTGTATATGCTGCTGGTTCTTACCATTACAGTCTTTCTTGGGTCCCAGTCCCTTGGGACTCGCGACCATATTTTACTGTCTCAGATTTTAGACGTCAATTTTCGTCGCCTCCTACGAGTCGCAGGGTCACGGATCTCGCTATGTAGCCTCGGGTCGGATGACGCATAAAACACTTTCTCCTACAGTTCTTTTACTGATGCCTGTCTGTTCGTTGCGTAACAATGGCTCGTCTTATCTGATGACATAAGGGTGTGTTTGCTGTGCCACTGCCCGTCAACAAATGACGTCTCCTGTTATATTTTTTGGTTCATTTTATCACCACAACATTTTATTTTCAGTCTGATCGAAACAAAAGGAATGTTGTAGCTCTTCATGGGCAGCAGATTCATAAGACTTGCTGATGTATCTACAATATTTTGGGCCTTAAATAAAATACATAGACGTATAATTTGCCTTAAACAACAGAATGACAGGGAAAAGTGGAATCAGCTGTTTTTCCCCAAACTGTAATTTTCCCATGCGGCTAGGCTATGAGCCATCTGTTAGCAAGAGGAGAGAGTGTAGTGTACTCATTCGGCAGAAACAGAGGGAAAACGACTTACATATAACACAGCATACTCTCCATTACGGTACCGGCTGCAGGTGTTATACAGAGTCCAACGGGAACTGACAGAATTATTGTGAATTATGAGTGGGAAAGTTGCGGCGAGATGGCTATAGATACATATTTCGAAAATTATCCAGAGATAGTCCTCTCTCTGTTACTATAGCACCAGTATGTAAAATAGATTTATATGCCCTGAGAAGATATTTATCATTTAAATTAAATGAGGCAAGGAAAATTTTCTAAAATAATTATTTTATAAATAATAACAGTCTGCCGTCATAACCCTTTAGAATATCACGCGGCTTCTAGCTTTCTGCTTTCTTTACAATGAAGATATAAATGTAATATTACAGTAACTAGACGAAAAAATATATTATTTTTAATGCTAGTGGGGTGGGACTAAGTCCCTTGTACTGCAGCCACTTCTGGCCTATTGTACCAGCCCCAGATGATAGGTGAGGGTGATTGTGGAGCAATTGGTGGAATTAAGATTAGCAGGGGAAACCGAAATACTCGAAGAAAACCAGCCCCAGGGCCACTTTGTCCACCATAAATCCCACTTGACCAGACCCGGGATCGAACCCGGGCGGCCGCGGTGGTAAGCCAGCGACTAACCCCTTGAGCTATGGCGCGGCCTTTCTATGGGCTTTATCCGAATGAATAAAGCGTACTTTAATTAATTCATGATAAATATACATTTCGTATTGGAATAACGAATCATTTGTTCGTAGAAAGATCTGTAAGGAATATAACTGTCTCTTTATTTCTGGCGCCGCTTTTCGCTTCAAATAACATTCAACTCTATGCGTTATAAAGCACGAAATGTTAATGTTAAATGAATCAGTATCTTTTCTTTATTCTGCTGTATGTACAAGTATTAAGAATCCTAATAGAAGCAAGCAGAAAATTGGGATCTAATTGTAACAACTAATAGAACAGGTACCAAAATCTGTAGTGACCAATAATGAGCTCCTTAATTATATTACGTAATTACTAATGACAGCCATGAACTGGCAATCAACTTTTTGTGCTATATCACAGATGTAAGGAAATGTAAGCATTATGCATGCATACTGATGGTGGTCACTGTGCTTTCCATGTATGAAGAATAAATACAAAAGCCACGATAGAAGTGGCATTTATTTCAATTATATTAAATCTAACATTCGTTAAAATATTAGATCATGAAAATTTTCAATGAAGTGAGTCCAGCTCAAAGGTTTCAAGTATGAAACTAAGTGAATAAAAACAGAAAGCAAGTGAACAATATAAGGTACCGTGTAGATCTTATGTGAACCGACGTTTCGGGGGAATATATCATTTCCATCTTCATGATAGAACAATCCGAGAGTGAGGAATCAGCGTGAACAGGTGGGTGCAGCTACCCTGAAGATAGAGGTGATACATCCCCCGAAACGTCGGTTCACACATGATCTACACCGCTTCATATCTTAGAAGACGACATTCTTCATAGTCACCGCCGTGAAAACCTCAAATCTAATAATATAAGGTAATTTGCTTATGATATTGGCAAAATTATTATAATTTAGTTAGGCATTTTTTAGTTTTCTTTCGAAATATAATGCTCTTCAAAGTAATTTGTTCAACCTCTCACAACTTTCAGAGTTCTACCACAATAAAATGTTCTCGTTGAGATAAGAAGCCATTCTTGCATCGCTTGTTTCTAACACTGGCGCGTATTTGAAAAGCAATTTCAGAAATGCTGGTTCATGGATTGTCTCGAATACACCAACCGAGCATCTCTGTAACCGCAATATTTTTCAGAGTTAATGGCTACCAGGAGCATTCATAATCAATAAAAACTGCTGCTCCTTTTCTAGATCTTTCCACGCATCCATAAATTTTACTGTGGCTCGTACAATTATCGCCATAATTATCTGTCATTTCTCCGATAATCTCACTACTTTCTTCACCATATTTTGACAAAAACTGCATCCCACATCTTTATTGGTGTAGTTCGGCAGTGCCAAAGATATATGTATTACCTTCTTGAGTCAGTAAGTTCATCTATATAATACACTTATTTAAAAATTAAGTTTCTACCTCATGGAAAACGAACTATATTTCAAATACAAAGATAAATCTTTTAACGTTGTTTAGGAAAATATGTAATTGCTGTTCATTCTCAGAATCATATACGACACACAAAGAACTCCGTGGAAAAATATAGATTTTTGTAATGTGGAATATATTTATATTTCATTATTACATAAAAGGCGCTAAAATCAACTACATCTGCGTATAAAAGGTAACATTCCTTACATCTCTCACCTTGCTGCCATCAACGTCATCTTTTTTTTTTTAATTCGCTTAGTGGCGTGTGGAGTCCAATTGGGCCCACTTGGCTCGGCGGCCACTGATTGGCCTATTGTACCTACTCCTGGTGATTATGATGATAGAGAATTTTGTGGAATGAAGATTGGTATGGGAAACCGAAGTACTTGGAGGAAACCCGCCCCAGCGCCACTTTTCCACCACAAATCCCACTTGACCAGCCCTGGGATTGGACCCGGGCCACGCCGATGGGAAAACAGCGACTAACACCTTGAGCTATGGCGCGGCCTATCAACATCATCTTAGTGATATCCAGACTAAAATAGTCTTGCTTTTTACTTTCGCCATCAGGCATCAATGTTCAGAAAGAGTTATTATGTTGTGGGACGACGGTTGCAGGACAAAGAGAACCCATTTGGACTTCTGATAAACTACCTACACATGATTTCAGCCTGGGGCTGGGCATCCCTGCACTGCAGTATGTTCAGAGTGACTACGCAGATTAGAAATGAATGATGATACACGATGACGTTACAGAGCACTAACGCTAACTGGTGTCTGTCATATTGTACTGAGCCCTCTGATGGGTTTACATAACGACGTTAACATGTGCATTACGAACAAACATGTCGGAACATTCAGCGTCTCCGTAATTTCGTATTTAGAGATACTTCTTTGTATGATTTTTCTTTGTTTTAAGAGTATTTCTCACGGAATTATTGCCTGGAACAAAACTGCTGTTATTTGGACTCAGAGGTTTATAGACCCCAAGATCTACTCTTCGAACAAATATTTTCCTTCTGCTGTAGGTTTATGCGTAGGAGCTACTAATATTGTTCATAAGGACACTGATATATATTTAGAGCGGTAACTGATTCCTATAATCGATTTTTAAAATACCCATAATGCTGAAATACTGGGTACTGAAATGATAATTAATTCGATATAAAAATAAATATTTTCTTTTCGCAACACTTCATGACGATTTAATGTAATTGAATTAACATTACCATTACAATTATATATCGTTATACATTATGTATATTATTATGTTATATTGATATTTTTATTACTTGAATTGCTTCGTGGAGTCATATTTTGTACTAGTCATAGTTTATCAATCATTTCAATCATTCATTGCAAATGTGTATATTTTGATTATCTCTGTTCTGAATGACAACTTTGATCTGTGTTAATCAAATCATCATTAACATTATTATCATTATCATAATCATCATCTAGTTCGCAGCGTAACCTTCAACTTCTCATCCCTTGAATGTATGTTCACATTATACTTTACGTTAGTCGAATATGAGGCTAAATACGAGTATGTATTATATCTGTATCTTGAGCTAGCACGCAAAATAGTAAAGAAATGAAGAGCTCTATCTTCTCTCTATCTTGCAGTCTGTTGAATGTCGTCTGACGTTTGGGAGAAACATGTCGCCGGGTCTGCTTTCTACCAGCTTCATGTTGATTTCCTGCTCGACTTATCTTTTGACGCTGAAATGGCAGAGGCCATACATGTATTTCCCCGGAAAATGGATTCATTTTCAACGCATTACACGTTCTTGTATATCAGAAAACCGAAGCTTTCAAAACCTCCCTCTGAGAACCTCACTGCCTACAAGTAAAGAACTGAACGGAACTAATCACTATTTCATCCGTCTGTTTACTGCCACAAAGAGGTTTCAAATAGGTTTAATTATGGCAATGGGATGTAAATATTGATGCACTGAACACGAGTATACACGAGCCGTTAAAATGGAATGGAGAACGATCGAGAGATCCACCTTCGTCTGTACATCTCGGCGTCAGCATCAACTTGTGATGCATGCAGCTCCAACACATCAGCAACCCCTTCAGCCAAATCCAATACATGGACCAAATCACCAGCGAGGCAACTGAGACAGAGCTCCATCCCAACAACATGAACAGGGAGGACGGCTTCTGCCTAAGGAAGTGTAGGCAACTCATTTATTCAATTTAGAGGAACGTGCGGAGTTACATTCCAGAAGACAGTGCTCTTAATATCCAGTGTCATGAGAAACTTCGTATTGAACTACTACATATGTTTTAACTCTTAAGGAATTCGTTCCTATTTAATTTCCATCCAACAGTTACCACAGAGACTGGTTATTGGCTGGACGACCGAGGGGTCGAAGTTCGAGACCTGGTAGGGACAAGAATTTTCTCTTATCCACGTCTTCCAAACCGGATCTAGGTTCCACCCAACCTCCTATCCAATGGGTAACAGGGGGACCTGAAGCTCATCACTCACCTCCAACTAGTGCAGAGGTCAAGAAAATGTGATTCTGTAAATCCACCCCCTCATACGCCTTCATAGCGCAGTCCTTAATTAGTTAAGCACAAGAACAACCTTATCTTTCACCAATACTGTGTTAGCATTCCTCACTTCAGTTATGCCTGAGATAGAAAGACTTCGTAATCGAAATGAATATGTCAGAGACAGCACATAATGTTCTGCCTCGTGCTTACGTAGTTCTACATTGAATAGCTTCGAGGTTCCTTGAAAACGGAAGATACAGAGAAACCTAACAAGTTTACGGTGATGGTAAAGGTGATTACATAGAATATACTGAGAAATATTATTTATCTGAAATATCTAGAGAAAGTCAAAATATTACGATTATTTGTTTGAAAATAACCTAAAACTGAAAGTAATTAATTGAGGCCTGAAAACATATCTAAAGTCTCAGAGTACTTATGGATATTTTGTTTAGTTTCAGTACACGATTCACCGCGAAACCAGGCTTAAATACAAATTCTGTATTAAGAATAAGATTTGTGTGTGTGTCTGTGTGTTTGTATATATGTACAGGTCAAATTAAAAGTTCCTACACTCTTTATGACAGTGGTAACTTGCCACGAATTCAAATTTATCTTCTTTTTTTTACAATATGAAGATGGAACTTAATCGCTTTTCCAAATCTGTAAAATGGGAACAATTTTCTTTTCCTCGCAATATCTCCGTATATGACTCGGCAACCTAGAGATTTCGCTCGAGAAATTTGTGTTCTACACTGCTTAAAAAAGTCGTCATTAGACAAGCTTCATACTCTTTAAGACTTAGCACAGAACATTCCAAGGCCCTATATCAAGTAGCCATAATTTCGCTTTCAACTCACAAATTCGCACACCGATATCAGTAATATTATGAAACATATTATATCGAAGAACAGCATGGCACCTTTTTGTTTTATGTTCGGAGCACATTTCACTATAGTATGTCAACTATTTCAGATTTTGTAAGGGGAAAAGTAGAGAGTCATGACACCATGAGTGTATCTCCTTATTAAATAAGGAAAAAGAAATAAGTCAACATGTTTGAATGTTTCTAGTAATCAGGATACACCTTTCGGAAAAAGGTCTAAATTAACTAACTCCGTGGCCTGTAGTCCGTAAGCGAACTACAGCGACCGAGCGACAGCCGCTTGTCGGGGAAGTTAGTGCCAACTTTAGCGGATAGATGGAGTCGTGTGGTCAGCGCAACGAATCCCCACGGCCGTTAATCTCGGTTTTCTAGACCGGAGCCGCTTACTTCCTTGAAATAGCTCCTCAATTATCCTCACGGGGCTGAGTGGACCCCGTTCAAGACCCAGTACTTCTCAGAAAATCTTGTAGCGCCGGGGAATCGAACCCACATCTCTTGATCTGTAGCCAGGAACTCTGACCACTAGACCACAGAGGCGGTCTAAGGTAACACACTCAAATATTGACAGGATGGATACAACATAACATTGCAATTCTCTGGGTAAATAAGAGTAGAAATGTGGGCAGGGCTGGAGTAATGAAAACTGCGATGAAGTGTGGAACAATACAAAGCGCTCATCCTGCTCTTCCTGTTGAATTTTAGACCGAAGACACAGTTTTTTAGTTTTCCTTTTTCGGTCTGACTCTGCAGCGTAAAATTTATAAGAAAGGTTATACAGGAAAGAAGTTGGCTTCATAAAGTTTCCCATGCTGCAGTTTATGAAATTTGTTGCTTCCACAAAGTGTTGGGCACAGTAGCATACAAACATACCATATACTCTAAAAGATATACGCAGTCTTCCAGACACTTGGGAAAATCTTTTAAAAACGTAAGTTTTAATACAAGTGTTGGACTTCCTGAAATTCTGCACCGCATAGAAAATCGATATGCTTATTTATATTTCTTCCTGAAAATATGCGTAATGCTTTATCGCCAAGTTAGCTTTGCATTAACTCTAGAACCATTTAGTTCGGTCCAAAATTTTGCACCCTGTGCCCTACAAGTTCTGAGACTAAGGTATGAGACGAATTTTGGAGTATCTGCTTCATGTAACTGAGGTTCACTGACACACAGACAATGTCGCACACGATCGCTTCATTCTTTCGACCTCCTTGGACCAATGACTGATATTTTCCCCAGCACAAAATGTCTGTCATATCTCAACCATACTTTTCTGGCGCTTATATTTACTGATTGTGTGGTTACAGAAGTATGAGTTTTGCAGGGCATGTAACACGAATGGGGGAGAGGAGGAATGCATATAGGATATTGGTGGGAAAACCAGAAGGAAAGAGACCACTAGGAAGACCAAGATGTAGGTGGTTGGAGAATATTAAAATGGAACTTACTGACAATGTGGAATTGTATGGATTGGATCGATCTGGCTCAGGATATGGATCGGTGGAGGGCTCTTGTGAATACGGTAATGAAATTTCGGGTTCTATAAAATGCTGGGAAGTACTTGAGTGGCTGCACAATTGGCGGCTTCTCAAGAAGGGTTCGGCTCCATGAGTGAGTGAGGTCTACAGCTCTGAGAATAGCCGAAATCAGAATACAGCAAGAGCTGCATCCAACACAAAGTTCTACTTATATATTTCTTCCGATATACCTCTATATTGTTCAGTATTATGATATGCAATCTACCTATCTAAAATTGCCAGTAAACATTATCTTTTTCCGTTCGAGTTATATATACACGTATATACAGTACATATACACACCCACACACAAACACAAATATACATAACCTCTTCGATTATTTTCGATAGGGTTATTTTATCTTCTACTTCTTCTTCTCCTTCTGCGGGCGCTACAGTCCATAATGAAACTTGGTATCATTATACAGGATGCCCTTTTATCCCGAGAGCGTGGGTATGAGTTTTGCAGGACTGGCATTGCAAAAGGTGCAGGACTGATACATAATCACCAGCGGTCTCGGTGACCTACATATTTAACGAGACAGAATTACTTCGGCATTACGTGAAATATACGAGAACTTCCCACAATATTTTAGCACAAAACCCGAAGAGAAGAGACCAATTGGGTCATTTGGGTTTAATTAGGAGGATAATACTAAAACTGAGCTTAAATAAACAGTATTTGAGGGATTAGAGTGAAATAGACTGATTCAGGACAGAGTTGATTCGTGTGTTCCTCTGAGCACGATAATAAACTTCAAGTTCTATAAAGCATGATGTATTTCTTGACCAGATGAGAGACTATGAGCTTCTCAATTAGGTCTCTTGCTTCATAGAATTAATTAGTAAGTAAGTATATAAGTAAGAATTTGACCCAGTAACTTAGGAAGAAAGCTAGTACATAGATAAATCAAAAGTAACAATGCTGTAGGCGGTCACGGTAGCCGAGCGGTCTAAGGCATGTACTGTCTTCGCTCGCTCGGAAGCCGAGATCATGGGTTCGAATCCCACTCAGGGCATGGATGTTTGTGTGCGTTTTTCTGTGTTTGTGTACAGGTAGAGGCCTTGCGACAAGCTGATCACTCGCCCAAGGAGTCCTACCGTATGTGTAAGATCTAGTAAACCGAAGTGAAACGGAGAGTTTCATGGAGGTAGGCCTAGGCCCAAATGAGGGCTGTAGCGCCAAGGAAAAAAAAATAATACTGTAGCGTGTAGACCTGTTGCTGAATAACGGTCGCTAAACAATTCCCGTTGCTAGGGGAGCTGATTCTTAATAAATGGAGTTACGCAACCCGTTTGTGGGGAACAGTTCCATAAACACGTTCCCGCCGCAACGAACATGAAGGCAGAAATAAAACTATCTTTTCTATGTGGCCCGTACCGTGAAGTTATAACTAGGAGAGCTGGAACAATGAGTTCAGTTGAGTTCTACAATGGAGGCTGTGAAGAGATGGAGCTATAACTTTGTTGACACTTTAGTTGTGGAGTACTAACCAGCAGGCCATGGCGTGACCACAACAGCTGAAGAAAGTCCATTTTTTAGATCCGTTGACAGGAAACGACTAGTGAAAGAAGACTGAGAAGACTTAGCACGTGATCTAGTGATTTGCAAAATGTGTATATCAGCGCTAGCGCTGTAATTACTTGTACTTCTGAGTCCCGAGTAGTGTGCGTTTGTAAGTGATCAATAAATCCATTTACCAATTCAGATTCCATCTATAGTCGCGCTTCATGCGCATGACAATATGTAAGTTGGTAAGTAGTTTAGCAAGTCAATTAGTTAATTACTTAATTGCAACAGAAGGGATTGAGTGAAAGAAAACTTCATATACAAAGCTCCTGTACAGAAGTCATGTCTCCTCCCCCTCTCTTTCTGTCTGCGCAGAACCCAACTCCTTCTTTTTAATAAAATTAAATTCTATTAGTAGATAAATAGTACTGTTTCACCAGCAACTTCATAGCTAAATTGTTAGAATGATCGCCGGTAAGAGACAGCTCGAAGAAATTTTCACCATATGAAAGTTCAAATCCTGTATAAGGACGAGTTAAATCAATGATTTGTGTCATCTCAGTATCCAGGACAGCCCAGGACTTGCCCATAGAAAACCGAAATTACTTTCGAGTTCTAAAGAAATACATCACAGTTTCCATACTCAGGTCAGTTTCTGTTTCCCTATAATATCTCTGAACAAAATCGTAGTTATTCCTAGCTTCAGTATTTAATAATCT